TGTATGTTCTCATGCACTTGCCTTGGTTGTTATTACTGTTGTTGTTTTAATGGCTCCCTGGATGTGGGCCCATGATTAAACCAGTCTAAATGGGTATAGTCATATGAATAAATTGTAGTCCCCACCTCTTGTCTTATTGACTAGTTGATTGACAGGTTGCAGATGCAGTATTGGGGATGAACCTGGGTTCCCATATCTACCAGGCAAGTGCTATCACTGACTTACATTGCCAGCCAGGTCTTGGTTCTCTGGAGCTGCAGCTGCTATTTGCCTTTTAAAGGACAGACAGAGTGCCAGTAGATTGCAGGGTCTGGATACTGACATAGCACGAAGATACAAAGAACTCCCTTGACTACTCATAGAACCCTCCCCACTACCGGTTTGGAATAGAGAGGTCTGTGATGTTTAGATGTGGCGCATGTTAGCACACATATTCAACTTCTTGCATTGGTTTGTTCTGTTCAGCTATGTATGTCCTCAGGTTTTCGAGGCTGACTTTGCACTCCCAATGTAAACAAGGCTGACCTTAAATTCCTGGAAATAGAACAACCTTCCTGCCTTAGCCTCCTGAGTGCTGGGATTACAGTCACGCACAGCCACACCCAACCTGTCCCCTCAATCCAATCTCATGAGGCCTGATAAGCAGTTTAATCATAATGCCTCTGGAATTCTGGGAATCCTGAGTTAAATCTGACTTCTTCAAAGGGCTCTCAGTCTGGCACATTGATTGAAAATTAATAGCTGAGGGAAGATTTGCCCCCATGAAGTGTCTCTAGTTTGGCTTGTTGTAACTTGGGAGAACAGTACTACCAGTATCTAGTGGTCAGGGATCAGGGATGCTGGCCCACCAGTCCTCCACAATAAACTACCTCTGCCCTCAAATGTTTAGGTTCTGAGGTTCAGACACCTGTCTTGATAAAATAGGGAAGAAAGATGTCTGTGAGTGGAGGTGTGCATGTGTGTGTGCTGTGTGTAGCATACTCAGAGTTTGTGCTCGATCTCTTTGCATGCAAGCATCAAACAATGACTTGCATTAGTCAACAGGCTATTTTTTCTCTTGTATGAATCAAAGATTTCTGATGACTTTTCATCTTCCTTTAAAATTTGCATTTTTTTTTCTCCAAAAAGTCTGGGAGAGGAAGAAGAAGAAGTCACTCAGCTGTGTTCTTTTCTTTCTAGCCATGCCTTCTGGTGGAACCTGTGCTTCTTGCACACGTTTCCTCCTCTGTTCCAAGGTCCCCTTTCTTCTCCTGTGTCTCCAGGTCTTCCTCTGGAGTACTCGGCCCTTCGTGATTCAGTGGCTCCCTGCGTTTCTCAGAGCCTATGTCCTCTCTCTCCTCCTACCCTGGTCTCCTGGGCGAGTTCCCCTCCTTGGAACAGAGTCACACTTCCCAGTGTGCCCAGTTTCACTGCACTGAGAGCTGATTAGACCCCGATCCCCCTGGAGGGTAGAAAAGGACTCAGGCAAGTGTCACGATGCTCATCGTCCAGGCACACTGGACTGGAGAAACTCATGTTTCTCCTTATGGAGAGTCTCTGGGTTGTGCCACACGCAAACAGCTAGAAACTTGATCTATGCTTAGAAGGCACAGCGTGCAAACAATAAAAATGCCACGATTATTATTAGCATTTACTTACAAGTTTTCAGAAGCTCTTTCAATAGCAAGAAGATCAACCTTTCTGTTGTCATAGAGACAAAAATCTTTATATAACTATGTGCAAGGTGAGAGTTCCCCCTGCCTCCCACCAGTTGCCTAGAGCTAATAAGAAGAAAGGAAAGGGAAATTTTTAAATTATTTTTTCCATTTACTCCCTCCCCCTATTAGAAAAACGAAAACGTAGGAGGTTGCTTCTTGTGTCATAGCTCAGGTTTTAAATGCTTATGTCTTTAATGAGAAAGGCAAGGGGCTGAAACTATGAATAGTTTGAACAATGGCATTTTGAAAAATTGCCAGCAGCGTGTTGTCAGTTGTTAGCAATTATCACTCATGCACCCTTTGTTCTTCTTTTCAAACCAAAGAGCAAACCTCAAAGATCTTAGGAGGCAGAGTCTTCAGCATCTGGATCGACTGAAGCACAGATGTATCTACTGAGGGACACGGTTGAATTCTGAGGCTCTGTGAGGTATTTCCCCTTCTTTCCCTGCCACAGCTTGGGTGCCCCCTTCTCCTCTGCAAAGGCTAGCCATGGCACAGCTCTCTTCTGGAAGCCTTGTTTCAAAACCTCAGTTCTCTCTTGTGTGTTCACTTCAGATAATTCCTTATCCAGAGTATGTTTCTGTCTTGTGATGATTTTTTGTGGCTTCATTCATTTCTCAACATAAATGATATATTTATGATGGGCTCAACAGTCTGTGGCCCTCTTCTTTACTTTAACATTGAGTTATACCTTTGTCCACACACAGATGACCCCTGTCCTAAGAGTAACTCTTCCCTTAAGTTCTTAGACTGTTGCTTCCCTCCTACTCCAACTGAGTCGTTCACTCTAACAAATGCACAGTTTCCTCATGTCTGGTGTCCTCTGCCTGCCCTTTCTTATGGAATTTTTCTTGTATTCTTCTTTGAAGAAAACCAAACCAAACCTTCCATTGTTCTGGTTGGTTTCCACCTGTCTCTGACTTTGAGCTTTTAAATTTATGCTTTCTTCTTCCATTGACTAGGCATATGTACAGAGGGGGTGATGGGGTGAGGACACTTATAGCTGGAGGAAGTTTATACCACTATGAAGAGCAAGGCTTCAGAGTGTTCTCTGGGGAGTTCCCAGAGTTTCTGATTCAGTACGATAGGCCTGAGATCCACGTCTATCCTCGAAATGTTCCTTTGAGGCCTCAAGTTCACACTTGGAGAAACATTGCTTTGAAGTGGCAACCTTTCTATTTTTTTAAGTAAACATTTGTTTTTACATGAATGTTGGGTTCTCAGTGTTATTCCTACAATGGCACTACCTTCACAGAGCTCTTGCCCCCAAAGGACCTGGGGTTTCAGGAAGCACCTGGTTTTCAGGAAGCACGACCTTTGTAGGAGTTGCCATGCTTGGTGCAGGGTTTTCTAAATGTCTACAGGAGGATGCTCTGGATGGTGGATGTTAAGGGAGGGCCTGTGGAGGATGCTGAGAATTCTCTAGGATCCCTCCTAAGCTTCCAGAATCAACTCCTTCTAGAGAATCAGAGTTGCTCACTGTAATTTTATTGTTCCTGCCTCCCACTTAGCCATAGTGCGCAGGGCAACTACTCTGAAGGCTTGTTTAAACAATGCTGCAGGGCAGTGAAGGAGTGTCACTTCGGCTTTCTTCAGGGAAGGGGTTTATCAGTGGTCCCCTCTTGAGGCAACAAGTGAACAGCTTAGCATCAAAGAGCTTAAAGCTTGACTTATCTGTCTTTTCTCCATCCTTAGCTAGAGGCAGTTTCCACCCAGTACCAAAGCCGGAGAAGCTGGAAGCAGTTTTTTAATTAAAGGAAAAGCAATTTTCTTAGAAAGACAAACAACTGCAGAAAGGTAATTAATAAGGTCTTTTTTTTTTTTTGCCACCGAGGGACTTGGAACAAGGGATTCCTTCAAGTTAGATCTCAGAGTCGTCTAATGTGTACAAGCCAGGTGTGCAGGAAGGGCTGTTAGCGACAGTGTCACTTGTAAGAGCAATACAGGAGGCTTGTCACAGAAGGACGAGGCCAGAACTTGGGAGGTAGGTTCCATGGATTTGTCAATTGATTGAAACAAATTCTATTAGCATAGCCATCACCTTCAGGGAATAGAGCTGACAAGATAGTTAATGGAAACTAATTAAGAGAACCCCTCAACCTGTAACTGTTCTCACAGCCACAGGGAGCAGACCAAATGCTCAGGATGTGTAAGTTTCTCCAAGAAGCTGGCAAGGATGCCTCCGAAGGGGGCTTGCTAGGGTTTCATCCCTCCCCCATCAGAGCATGTGGCTAAGGAGCACTGGGAAGACCTCCCCCCCGCACTGTGCATTTGTGCTACCTCCTACTTTATTTGGCGCTTTTATTGGGATGAAAGTCATGTAATGTAAAATCCACCCATTTCAAATGATGGCTTTAGTATTTTTATGGGAAGCTTAGAAAATCTCATCTTAATCACAATCTAAGCTTAGAAAAATCTCATCACCCCTAACCTTACAGCCATTAGCAGACACCCATCCCCCGACCCTGGGAACTAATAACCTACCAGTCTGTCTGTTCATTTCCACATTAACAGGATCATGCAATGTGAGGAACCCTTTCCTAAATGGAAGGACATTTGGCATCTTAGCGCTAATGGCACATTCCTGTCTTTAACCCAAGGCTGCAGGAAGGGTGGCCTTCCTCTACTTGCTGGCGTTTGCAGTCCCTCACTCGCGTCTGTGGGTGGCACACCAGAAATCAGAAAACAGGCTTTTCTTCTCGCACAGGCACAGCTAACCCGGCTGAGTTCCCCATGAAGAAAGTAGAGGTCTGGGCTGCACAGACAAAGACAGACAAACGCTGTCACTGGTCCTTATCTCTGGCAAGGGTGAGAAATGCTATATCCTACTTCCCAGCACACTGCCACAGGCACTTATGGGCGACCTGGTGACTGGAGTCCAGGCAGTCATCATCGCTGCTAACAGATCAGGTTACCCTTGGCCCCAGGGCCTGAGCCCTTTGCTTCTAGACGACCTATGGCAGGTGCGGAGCCCACAGCAGCCTACCTAAACCCGGCTGCCCAAGGGTCGGAACCACTCAGACTGCTCAGACAGAGAACACTGGCGAAGGAGGGCCACTGGATTCATCAGGCCTTCAGGCAGCGACAAAGAGAGACCTCCCGTGGCTTCACAGCAGTTTTAAGTTACCTGCCTCAGTTTCCCCATGAAGAAAGTAGAGGTCTGGGCTGCACAGACAAAGACAGACAAACTCTGTCACTGGTCCTTATCACTGGCAAGGGTGAGAAATGCTATATCCTGCTTCCCAGCAAAGGGGCTCAACATTGAGTAGCAAAAGGCAGGGACCTGGGGCACCATGTACTCACAGTCTGGTGAGGCCGTCGCGAGGGCCAGGGCAGCGCAGGGCACCGTCAGGGGCGCAGTCGCAGGGCTCCGGGCAGCGCGACCCTGGCAGCTGCCAGGGCTGCAGCGGTGATGGCTTTAGCATCAGAATCGCCAGTGCCTGCAGCAGTCTCAGCGCTGGGGCGCGTTGCCCCATGGCCTGCCAGCCGAGTGTGAGCTCCTGACTGGGCCAATAACCTGGACCGCCCGGGGGCTGACCACCACCTCTGCCCGCCCCTCGGCCTGCCTTCCCAGTTGCCGGCCCCCGCCTGCTCCAGCCCTCCCCTCTCACCCTGCCTCTGGCGAGTCCCTGCTCTCCTTGACCTGGGACAGTGGCCAGCTACCCCATCGCTGCTTCCCAACGACCCGTCCTCTACACTAAACCTGCAAATGAGCCAAAGGTTAGAAAGTAGAGTGGCGTGTGGTAAGTGCTTCGAGTGAGAAGTAGGGGTTCTGAACCCCTCCCTGCCACGGGCGTGAAGTGGGGGTGATTTGTGGCACTTCTGAAACGTGTCTTGCTTCTATCCATCAGAAGAGCGGAAAGCGCCTGCTGGGCTGTGTTTCACTCAGCTCCTCATACTTAATCCTAAGTATCTTTTCCCTCTCCCCCTTCCCAGGTGACTCGCTCTACTTCTCATGAATGTAACTGCTCTTAGCATAGCAATTTGGGTCTGTCCTCTGTCTCCCCACTGTATTGTGAAGACTTTGAGAGCAGAATCCAGTTCGGATTCACTGTGTATTCTTTCTGCAGTTAATAAAGATTTGTTTCGTGAATGGGGGAAATGACTGCACGGTGCAAGCACCTAACTCCATGGGTGTCCAATGTCCTTTAACCTTTGTTATTGATGTCTTGCCTCATGTCACATCTAAGTGTCACGCCAAACTCTCAGGGCACTTACTGCAAGAACTCAACGCCACACGAGATATACAATTTCTTTGGTCAGCCTACTTACAGATGGACGAATCCTGTTTGGACCCGTGTCTACCAGTCTCTCAGCATTGTAAAACCCCTGCTATGAGCTCTGTGATTCTAAATCCCAATGGAAACAAGAACAGATCTTACAGCAACCCTGGGAATAAACCACTTTCCCTCTGCTATGTTCCTTCCAAGGATTAATTCTGAACTCCAGAAATGTTAGCAGTTTTTCTGGAAGAGGTAGGCTGTTGGAGCTGAGCAGACCTCTAAAGCACGCAGGTGGGAACCAGAAAGACAGATGTCTCTTGAGGACACTTCTCAAGGGCCATTTCCGCAGTCACCAGGTTATAGTCTCTATCACTAGGATTCTTAAATCTCCTGGCTTTGCCCACTTACGTTTTCAGGTTTTTGTGCACGCTTCCCAAAGCTTGCATGATCCCCTCTTCCTTTTCTGTTTTTCCATTAGCTAAACTCCTGGTTGTGTTTCAAGGCAGACTCCTGCCCGTTTCCTGCGAGCCTTACGTGACTCAGCGTAGCTTACTAGCACCTGTAGTTAAAACTGCAGTTAAGGATGTGATTTTGCTTTCTCCTGTCAGTAGATCTTAGTACTGCCTTTTCGTTCAAAGCTGATGCTCCGTACATACTGCTGAACGAGAAAATGGACAGTAAAAACCAAGCTTATGAGTGAGTACACATGGTATTTGTCTTTCTGGCTCTGGGTTACCTCGCTCAAAATGATACTTTGTAGATCCATTCATTTTCCTGCAAATTTCAAGATGTCATTATTTTTTTCTGCTGTGTCTACTTCATTGTGTAAATGTACCACATTTTCTTTATCCGTTCTTTAGGCATGGGGCATTTAGGTTGTTTCCAGGGTCTGGCTATAACAAATAATGCTGCTACAAACATAGTTGAGCACATGTCCTTGTGATATGATTGAGTATCCTTTGGGTATATACCCCAAAGTGGTATTGTTAGGTCTTGAGGCAGGTTGTTTCATAATTTTCTAAGAAATCTGATATCCAAAGTGGCTGTAACAGTTTCCCACCAGCAGTGAAAGAGTGTTCCCTTTACCCCACATCTCTCTAGCATAAGTTGTCATCAGTGTTTTTGGTCTTGGCCGTTCTTACTGGTGCAAGATGGAATCTCAGAGTTGTTTTGATTTGCATTTCTCTGATTGCTGAGGATGTTGAGCATTTCCTTAAGTATCTTTCAGCCATTTTAAATTCCTCTGTTGAGACTTCTCTGTTTAGGTCTGTACCCCGTTTTTGATTGGCAAATACTGTTTTTATGATGCTGTTTACATACAAGAAAGTTTCACAATATATTTTCTGTCCATGATTGATTTCAGTTGGATCTTATCATAGTTGATTCTTGCTGTATTTGTATATTCTTGTTATAATTGTATCCATATAATGAAGTCACATTGAGTTGTTGGTTACAGTCACAAAAATTTGCTACAGAGAAATTTGCCTTTCCTATTCATTAATACGTGACCTCTTTGGAGTGGGTAGTTTTAGATGTGAGGGGCTTCTGCTTTCTATAACTAGCTGTGTAGAGACTTTCATCACAAAATGTTAAAACAGCATGGTGCACAGGATGACTAGTTATGTTTTACTGACAAAACAATGTGGTTAAAAAAATTCCAGTAAAACTCCCCAAAGTTTCTGAACAGAAAGTCTCACATTTTAGGTTGTGGAACTGTCATTTACGAAGCTTTAAAAACCAAAGATTTCCAAGACTTCCCCCAAGAGATTCCAACTCAACAGAAGTAAAACAAAGGCCGGAAATCTACACTTTGACAAGCTGCCCACACAACTTGATACATATTGCGTAGAATTCTCAAAATTTGGAAAACACTAAAACTAAAGATCTGGAACTGAATTTGTCATGGGAAGCTCAAAAATCCTAATAACAGCTGGATAGCATGGCTGATGTCTGTCTGTGATATAGTACCTGGAAAACTAAGGCAGGAGGGCCACTGAGAATTCAAAGGCAGTCTGGGATACAGTAAAATAAATCAAAATGAGCAGTAAATAATTCTCATTAAGGACATTGAATGAAACCTGAGGACTTGATATGCTGGTGAACCTGGTATGTATAATGAACACATACAGACAGTAGTGTATGTGCTTACATGTTTAAATTTATGTAGCATGTTGTATTGGTGAGGTTGTTTCTTTAGTTTTTTTTTGGAATGTCATAGGGTCACAGAATCTGTTTTCTTTATGCCTCCTCAATCAAAATGGTAGCTTTTGGTGATAGACTTTAGAATTAGAGACACTTACAAAGCTATACTAATGTAAAGAAACAGAAACCAGCACAGGCAAAATGTTCTGATTCTTGAGAACATACTCGGTTAGCACTGAGACTGATATCTCTTCCGTATTAAGAGCAATGGCTTTACTTTTCCCTTGGAAGAAAAGGAAAGTGTGGGTCAGAAACAAAAGAGGGAAGGCAAAAAGTGACAGTGGCTGTTACACCCCTGAGCTGGAGAAACATCCGATCAAACCAGGCAGAACAGAAAGGTGTCCCCTAAAAGTTGGAACTTTCATTGCAATGTCACTCTGTGCAACCGGAGATGTGATCGGTTGTTCCGCCTACAGGGCCCATCTGCAATTCTTCTGGACAGGAGAGAAGCCAGCAGCTGCAGTCCACAGGTGCCTGGGCCTTGGTCCTTGGGTAGGTTCAACATTGGGATGTGAAGTCTTGTCAGGAACATGAGAAGCCTTCTCTGAAATTGATGGACAGGAGGCTGGGATGGGAGACTTCCTTTTGGCCATGTGACAGACATGTGAATGGATTGGACACCAAGGGGGGAAAAAAACCAATTAAATTCTGTAGAGAACAACAGAGGAGGCGGACATACTTTATTAATCCGGTCACACCACACTCTGTCTTCTTTCTTGGCTTTCCCAGGTAATAAGCTAATACATTCACTGTTTTGTGTATTTTGCTAGTCGGGGTTGACTCCCTGTCACCTGCTACCTCAAGTGCCCACAGCAAGGCGGATAGGACTCATCCCCAGTGAATGGCCCCTCATTGTGTTGGCAGTATTTCTCGTGAAGCCTCTGGGAAGTTGAGTGGGCGAATGAATGAATGGGTACATGGTACTGTGCTATGGATGACTGATCCAGCCAAAGGGACTCCAGTGGCAGCAGGGCTGAGAGGATCCTGAAGAACAGAATTGAACATGGATGCTGTGTGGGTATGCAGAGCTACAAGTGTCTTGTGCCTGGGAAGTGAACAGGAGGCAGCATATGAACTGCACTGATTAAAGCAGAAGAAAGACTGAAATGAGGGGAAGAAACTTGAGAATCCATCCGTGGTCCTCATCAGCAAGGAGCCTGCGACTTCATCCGTAGTCCTCATCAGCAAGGAGCCTGAGACTTCATCCGTGGTCCTCATCAGCAAGGAGCCTGCGACTTTATCCGTGGTCCTCATCAGCAAGCAACCTAAGGCTTCATCCGTGGTCCTCATCAGCAAGCAACCTGAGACTTCATCCGTGATCCTCATCAACAAGGAACCCGAGACTTCCTCCGTGGTCTTCACAAGCCTTTTAACAATTACTGGGGGGAAGTTCCTTGTATTCTTGAGTTGGGTGTACCCACTGTGGAGAATCTGCGCCTGTACATTTGGCATCCATTTAGGAAATGTACACCCTAAATGTCTCAGGTGACTTTTGGAGCAGGTAGGAAGATGTCATCTTCTATAAAATACTTCATTAGCGTGGCATGAGGAGGCCACGGAGAAGGGAAGCAGACTGAAGACAGCAGCCAGAGAGCTAGAAGGAGAACATCCACTTCAGGAACAACAGTAGACAAAACCCAAGGGCAAGTTCATTCCATTCTGAATGAAAGATGTGAAAGTTAAAGAACACTTTACATATGACTTTACTCCTAAACGAGGCAGGAGAAGAGTCATGGGAGGGAAACCCAAGGGCTGGGAAATAATTGCAAAGCCATTTGCCGGTGCGTGTAAAATGACCCGAAGTCTTATGGAAAGCAGCAGAGTGGTAATTTCCACTGAGAGTTAGGAGCAATGCATTCACCCTTCAGCCAAGGGATTCCAGAGTTGAAGGTTTTCTAGAGAAAATATTTGATCTATACAGACTTCAACTAATAGAGACTAGCGCTTTCTCCACCTTTAGTAAAGTCCTAAGACTTTTTAGCCCTCTAGTCAAATTAGCTCAATGCTTATTAGCATTCTTTTCTGTTGGCCTTTCAGGTTGTATTCCTTTATTTCTTTTTTATTCATTTTATGTACCAACCACAGGTCCCCCTCCCTTCCCTCCTCCTGCTCT